CACTTTTACGTAAAATTTACGTTAATATTATATCACTGTTTACGTTTCACAGAGGTGACATTTCTAAAAACATGTCGACATTATCTTGACAATGGTTTGCGTAAAAATGACATAAAATGGACAAAAAATTTACATTCATTTTACGTAAAATTAACATAAACATGCTGTTTGGGAGGAGATGAAGCATTCCATGGCCCTTCAAGTGGGTCCTCGTTTCACTTTATCCGAGTTCGCGTTCTCTGCAAGCCACATGCGCATGCAGCTTGCCATCGTCAACAAGTCGCGCTACTTCGACGCTTATTCCTTCGATTCGGCGATGCGAGCGGACCTTTTGCCTAATTGGGTCCTGCAGCTGAGCAAGTCGACAGCAATATTTATCGATAGCTGGCTGTCGAAAAGTTTTGCCGAAGATCAAGGTCCCGACGAGGCATTCATGACTAATTTCTGTACGCATTACTTCAAGACCGCAAAATTCGGAGGATTAATCGCGCTCCTGCTGGAGTCTCATTCAGACTTTCAGAGCAAAACAGAAGAGGTGAAGACCAAGGTACGAGCAGCCTTTCTGAAAATTCTCTCTTCCAAGAGCAGCCAATCCGATTCCACTCTGCAGATGGACTAGGGATTTGAACAGATGACGACGAAAACGATGAGGTCAGTATGCCAAAAATAGCTTTCACTTGTACCTGTATGGAATAGTAGATGAGTTCCGGGTCTGAAATGATCTCGCGTTCAAAACATCGGGCGCAGCTGTGACTCGTCCTGGGGGCGACATCTGCACTCGTCACGGAGAAGCCGTTAATGCCGTGTCACTCGCAGTCCAGTAAGCCACAAACAAATGAGGTAGGAAGAAATCTACCCCTTCCGACTACGGTCGGCGTGATAACCATGACCCGAGATCTCTTCGCTAAGATGGCTCTGGCGGGAGATATGAAATCGTGGAGACCTGTCGCTTTCTTTAGGCGTATTTACGCACTACCGATGACATTGTGCCTTTTCGTAGCCGATGGATGCCGTGCAGGGTGGTGTCCGACGCTCGTGAGTCCTTCTTGACGGCTGGGTCGATCGCGTGCATGCGACCGACGGTGGGAAACCCACTTCCCGGTTCGAGTTCCAAACGTATACAGGTACGCGAACTATACTAGACCGATCGAAAAGGAACGGGACTTTCGCTGCAGCTAACAGTCGTGGAAATTGTCGGCCACTCTGTAGGCGTCGACTGTGTTCACTCTGCGACTCGTGGTAAAAATGTCAGCGGTCTTTCATTTAAGGAACTCTGTCGGTGATGAAAAGAATTTGCCACGGTCGGTAACTTTTGGTGGATTTTACTGGAATGCCAGCGCTGGAGCAGAGGGCAGAGATGACGCTCTGAAAATCGTCCACCGAGACTCTCGAGCTTTTGCAAAAGATGTACGCACAGATATCGTTATCTGCAGCAAATACCTGCTGCACGTAGGTACATTTGCTGCAGCGAAAGTTCCGTTCCTTTTTGATCAGTCTAGTACAGGGCTTTCCAACCTTTTTAACGCTCGACCCCAAAAATCACGATCGTGCCATTCAGGACCCCAAGCCGAACAGGCCACTTTTGTGCTCTAAAATCGCAAAGAAAAACATCACTTGACATTTAGTTGTCGGTTCGCGATCCTTGGGTTGTGTCATACCACGAGGGAGTCGCGCCGATTGATGTGGGACAGAATTCTGTCGCACATCAATCGGCGCAAAATGGCTCGTGGGCTTCCAGTCATTCTGATGTTTTTTTTTTCAGGTGCGACGCTGGCGATTCAAAGTAAATCCCGTTCGTCCGAGTGTCCGTCTTCTTCCGCGAAAAATGCCTAAGTGAAAACGAATTACGGATTTGCTATTTTTTCGCCAGCGTTTATGGGCTTTCATTAAATATCTTTCTAATTTAATTCAATGAATACGCCGGACAGCATATTACCCATTCCCGATCGCCCGACGCTGCGATATGCAGCGGATCATCGTTGGGTTGGAACGCGTGCAATGTAGTTTCCATATCGTCCACTCTATCGAATGACTCTTTTCGGGCACGTTAAGCGAGCAAGGGGGGTTGGAAATCGTACGTCCTTGTGCCTGCGTTCTTCGTGTCACGAGATTCGTCGAATCATCGAAGCGCAACACAGGGTCAAAATGGAAGTTAAATAATTCATGTTACGACACTAGTCTCGCATTTTGCAACGATCGCCTCATATTCCCATTCTACAAGATGCGGCGTTGTCGCTGATGGGAGCTTCAAGCACGATAGGTCAGGTCAGGTCAGGTCAGGTCAGGTCAGGTCTCGCTGCCTGGTGAGTCGCATTCTTCGACAGGTTAAAGTGGCCGTTAGGAAGAGAAAGAGGAAGGAGAACGTTCCTCGTTCACAGTGTAAATTGAAAGAAAAGCAGAACGGGAACTGATGCTTTATGAAACCCTTGAGGGATAGTAGAGCCGAATCCGGTCCGAGGAGAGAAGCATCGGTCCCACGACCTTCTCCCTAAAGAGTTTTAACATTTTTAAAAACAAAATCGCATCTAGCTCACCTAGCGACTCTCTTGATTACGCAGAATGTATTTTTTGACTTTCCATCATTAACCATTAACGACTGCGTAGATCTATTTTTTGAATGCGAATATCCGAGACCTCCTCGCCCTCTACTCGAGGCAAACGAGCCTTGAGGACATGCTTTCGCTGGCTGGCATGTACTTAATCAGGCACGATGCAGATGGGGGGGCGGGCCTCCTCGCCCTCGTCAATCAGTGAATGAATGATTTATTGTTCACTTTACCGGGCTGTGCAGGGGCTCAACCGATAGTTCAGTTGTTTGGTGGACGGGGGGGGGGGGGGGATATCAAACATAAAAAGGATTAACAAGAACATAGGAATGACTTATACAGATAATTTGTCAATAATGCATTTCTAACAGAAGACAATGTACAGAACTGTGTAAGGGGAATGGAGAAGATCGTGTAACTTGCATCTGCATTACGTGATGGAGCATGGGGATGATGGGGGCGTGAAGCTACCTCTCAGTTATTTGATATCTTAATAGACATTTCCAAGTTGTGAGAGATTATTCCTTGACGGAATTTCGCTCGGCCCCCTTGCCTCCCCCGACCAGCCGCCGCTGCTTGCGCCCCCGAGAAAGGTTTTTAGATTTCGCCCTTGGGGAACGTTTCCTCAGCACCTTCCCCCTTCCCCATCCTTTCACTCGTCCCCCTTGGCTCACGAGCCAAAACGAAACAGTGCATCGGTTTCCAAACTCCCATAATGAATGGAATTCCTAGGGAAATGTTAAACCATGGATGTCCGCGGCGTAAAGGTTGATGGGATTCTTTATCGTGACATGAAACCAAGGAGATGGGCGGAGCTACAGGATGCTTGAAAAATTGATGAAAATTTTCTTTCTTGAATGACTTCTAAAAGGACAAACTTAGAGATGTTATTTTCGTGTCAGTATTCGAAGGGGAGAGTATACATGTGCCAGTGGAATACTAACTACGCTCGAAAAGGCGCCTTGAAAAAAGAAGTGCCTATAGACTCCAGTGGAAAATTGCCTTCGGGAGGCGTAATGGAGCGTGCTCATGCCCATAGGTTCAAGTGCGCGGCGTTGGGGAGCTGTGCATGACTATTTCCTGTTCGTCTTCAGTGGTAGGCGAGAATACGCAGGAGCTGTAGGCATGTGGACATTCTCCAACGCGACATCGAGGAATCACGCCTACGTTATCGCAGAAAGGACTTGGAAACCATTCTCTGAGGGTTCTCGAAGCAAAAAATAATTCAATCTCGGCAAGTTTTCCTTTACTCCATTTATACAAGGCCCCAGCCTTAGAGCTTGAATGTGCAGCTATCAGACGGATGGTACGAGGTTCAGATTGTCAAAGGTTGTCATTAATTTCCCCACATCCTTCGGTCAAGGAAGCACTTGGGTCTCTTCCTTTTATGCCTATTCACACAGGAAGCGAATTCCTCCAAAAGTGTTATTCCTCGGAGTCGAGGAGGACGTTAGCAGACGTATGTATCACCATCGGAGTGGAGTTCTGCCAATATGCCTAAGGACACGACTCAGACATGTGCATAGGCTTACATCCGCACGACTCCGAAGCCCTTGAAAACTGTTAGGAAGAATTCACCTTCAATAGTAGGCTAAAGTTGTACCAAGTCTTTGGAGGACATCTTCGAGCTTTATTAAATTCTAAGATCGATATCAACAGATATGGCGCATTCTGTGCCGTAAGAGCAACGACGAGTGATCATTGGGTTGAAGCGGCCCCTGGGGCAAAAACTCTCAGCACGCCACGGTTGACAATGAGTCCAGGAAGAAGTTACCCGGATGACGCATCCGGATTCTCCTTTCCTCCTTGGCAATATGCCCCTTCCGAACAAGGAAATGCGGTGAGTGCTGAGGTTTCATCCTGTAGCCTCTAAGGGCAATACCAAAAAAGCAGTTGTAGGCGTCGTACATGGAAGGAGCAAGGAAGAAAACTGACCCATAATAAGTTCATGGCAAGATGAGTTGCTTGACGTGGCAGTATTTCATAAATGTACCAAACTTTGTATATCGAGCTTGTTCATTGCAGGTTGGCGCTTCGAGTTCTTTTGGCTCGATATTCTCAGGTTCCACTCTCGCTTCTAGTAACAGATAATATTATTTTCTCCTATTTGTATTAGTAATTGGTGCATTCCTTCCCCCGGGAATTCGATTTTGACGAAATCCAGTATTGAATTCACTCTCATCTCCAGTACACCAGATGACAATCAGAATGAGTTCCTCTCTCGAGGAGGGTTTGTATACAGGCAGTCCTCGCACTTACGACACAATTGCTTCCTGAAAGTCGCGTCGTAAGTCGAAACACAGTTAAATGCAAGCAAAACAACAGTTTTCCACGATCAAAAAGGCGTCGTAACAATTCTGAGTGATCGAGTCAGGCACGTCGTTAGTGTCGTGCGTCGTAAGCCAAGGACTACCTGTATATGCCTCTGGGCCAGCGTTTCTCTTCTGCCAGACATGTAGCATCACGACTCTGGTGTTGGCTGTTCCATCCGAGTCCCAGTGTACCACATGGAAATCAGCATGAAATCTCCTCTGGCCATCCTTCTCTGCTTCTCGCTTTCTCTGGTTAGTCGTCCTATCAGCCGTCTCTTTTCGTGCTTCTCTATCCGATTTTTGAAGGATGTGCTACGTGGAACTCTTTTTTCCTCTTTTGCTCTTTTGAAGCACATGGGAGTGGAAGGGGCACCTAATGGTACGGAATCTCGCGAAGAAGAAACTTGGAGACTCCAGCAACCAGGTCCAGAAGTAGAACAACCTGTCACTGTAGAAAGCCTCAAGGAAGTACGTTTTACGATGAATCACCACAGACCGTATTATCACATTAATTGATTGGTCTCTCGATCTGCAGCAGCTGAAAACGGCGATAGAAACGATGCAGAGTACGATGGCTATCGCAGGGGACTGTGTTAATCGACTCGGAGAAGAAAGAAACAAGATGCGCGAGAAATACTCGTATATCGGAATTTTGTACCTTTTCTACCTCCATCAGGAGATTCTCACGAACCGACACCTCATGAAGGAGCTCCTCAACGTTTCTCAGTGAGTCAACTTCTTCGTTACAGGATTGAGTAGCACCTCTGTTTCCCTGCATATACTAAGTTGGCCTTGTGCAATTTTTCCTGCATGGAACCTTCAACAGAGAAATAAAAATGAGCCTCGAAGGATCCTTGATAGTACCAAAGTTAGCGTGGAATCGTCTCATCTGCAACTGCAGTCATTCTAGTCCTTATTAACGAATCAGTTTACAAAGAAACTGTCATCACTCGGTTAAGTCCAGTGGCTCGTTTCTGGACTTTTCGAGGTTATTTACTAATGCCATACTTGTGGCATCCCAGATTTCTTGAGCGTACTCGTATATCTATCGCATCGTTGACTTCACAAGGGTCACATACAGAATAGTGTTAACTTCTATAGATGCTTAGCTTCCGTTTCGTCGTTTATCCCGGGTCTCACTTGAGGTTGACGCAATTTTAACTAGATCCCCATCGTTCTGCTGTTATCGAGTTGGAAAAACGTTCTACGCCTCAAGTTATCGAACACCTGATGGCGCTAAATGCTTGAAAAGATCCCTCCACATTAACTCCAGCGAATGTAGTCCGAAAGCCTCGAAGCGCCTTTTGTATGAAAATACTCATACAGTAAAAATTCATGAACTCGAATCCTGATAAGTCGAAATTCCGCTTACCTCGGACTTCAGTGCTTGATCCCGGCCGAACCCCGTAGTAAGACACCATGTCATATATTCCGTTTAACTCAAATTCGCTTATCTCGAATATCTGGTTATCTCGAACGACACTTTCACTCCCGATTACGATTTTCTCATGGTTATTCGAAATCAGTGTGTGAAGTGGGGAAAAATTATTGTGGGACCTATGGATTTGTTGAATAGGCGAAAGGCAAGAAACCCGTTCGGGAGAAAATCCTTTTGTTTATTTTTTGCTGCTTCTCCCTCCTCCCTCACAGCCTGGGGAGAGGATTAAACCTGAGAATTAAGCTCGCCGCACACGAGGCAATTTTCGTTGCTCCACCGTCGCAGATGCGACTCCGGGGGCACACAGCAACCTGCAAGCGATGTGATTGGTCGATTCTAGAATGTGGACGGGCGCAATTTGCTGCCGTTATGACTGATGAGACGACTGAAAACGCTGAGATACAACAACGCGCAATAGTTTTGCGATTTGAAGGAGCTGTAAATTCTGTTGCCCCGCGAACACCACGAATTGATCGCGCCAAGTTACCATGGAGCGACTGTCATGAACGGCGCAACGGGAGGCGTTCGTGCGACTGGAATTCCCTAATGCTGGGTATATTCACTGCTACGCCCGCCAACTTAATTTGGTCATGAAAAGAGCTGCGTCGCAAAGCACGAAAGCGTGTGTGCTTTTTTCAAGTTTATCAGGAATCCCTGTGTTTATCTCACGATCACCGGAACGATTAGCGGCGCTAGACGTCGTCATAGCAAAGAGAATCCTATCCAGTCAAAATTTTTTGTTGGTTTATCGTCGGGTCATAGCCGGGGAAGGTAGCTCATTTTCGGCCGAAGATGAGCCAATCTCGGAGATTCTCCATATTAAGCAAAGAATCATTGATAGATTATTCACAAATAAAAACTGGCGAATTGACTTCATCTTCAAACTGTCGACTAATCGAATTACTTCAATACTCTCGGTGCCATGTAATGCGGTGAGTGCTTTATTGCAAATTAATAAACTTCTTAATTAAAATTTTAAATTAATTTTAAGTCATAAAATATTCACTGTATGATATGAATTGCGTGGTGCGTTTTACGAGATATAAACTTTTGAATAATTCTTGCTCTACTCGGTATTATGCGCCTAGTGGCCCTAGCCCTGCAGCCTCCCCCTCCCCCCGAAGTCTTGAATTCACGAGCCGCCGTTGACAATCCCCTTCACCCATTATTCAGTGGCGTGGTCAAGATCTCGTCGAGGGGGAAGTTAAGTGGGGGGCTGGATTTTCTTTGATTTCTCCTCTGCCGGGGAGGGAGCGGCCTTCGATGCGAACGATGGGAAAGCCGTAGCAGTCATGAATCCGAGTGACTCCAGCACGATATCCGGCAACCTCGTCCAGAACGACGTGCGCATTTGTGTTTCTCCGCATGCGGTAGTTCTTTCTATGGACATCCATCCATCCATCCATCCATCCATCCATATGCATAAGATGGCTAATCTGTGTGTCGTTCCGAGAAACTCCTCCGAGAAGGATGAACTGGCGAACATGGTCTCTACGGGTTCTCCTGTCCTTCTGCGCGTCGGAGTCCTGCACAGATAGATTTTTCCGAGTTGAAACTTGATTCGAATCGTGGCCCGCACCCGACCCCCAACGCAATCGTCGATAGAACTTTGCTGCTATGAGCCGTGATTCGCGTTGAACTGACACGGACGGCCCGCAGCCTGTTTAGACCTCTAAGCTAGAGAACGCCAGGTCTATGATGACGCATTTGTCCCAAGGGGGGACGGAGATACCTTCGCAGTACTGCGCAGAAACGCATTTTCGAGGGGAACCGTACAGAATAATGTGCATGTCGTCGAAGAAGACAGGGTGTCGAAGCGTACCTTTGGCATGGAAAACTGTGCAAGACAGTTATATCCGGAAACCTGAAACTCATTCAAAATTTACCTATTCCCCGAAAAACCTCTTTCTTAGGTAGGCCTATGGGCTGTGTGAATTCGATGCCAAGCCATCTTTCATCCATATACTGTACATATGCATGATACATAAGAGGATAATCTGTCTGTCAGGGCGTCATTCCGGGGAAACTCCTCCTAGTCGGATGAACGGATTTTCATCAGTGAGATTTCAATCGAACGCCGAAGGCGATACTTCTTGGATCGAAAGTCCAAAAAATTGTCCCATTTTCATGCAATATGGCGAAATCTCGGCAATAAGAACAGCATTATACCGAACGCCTTCCGGACTGTGTGCTCGCACATCATGACCCACACTTGACCTGAAACTCGATTGCCGATCGGTTCCGTCCAAAGGCCGCTTTGTCCTCTGAGGTATCAGATAACGCATTCGCCCGCACCCACCCGGAAAGTCGATCGTCAACGTCGTTACACTCGCGATGCACGGGTCAGATCGGCCCTATCGAGCCGATCCGCATCCCGGTCAAGCTCAAAATCTTCCCCCATTCGCCCGGGCGTTCTTAAATTAGAACGACGGGTCTTGCTTAAAGGCTACGAAGCGGAACTCGCTGAACATTTGCTTACAGGCGATTGGGGTTTCCCTAAAGACGGAACGCATCCCCTTATAATTGATAGAAAGCACGTCTGCTTGAAATTTGAATGTTGTGTCGCTTTAGAATGCTACGAGACGGAACTCTCTGGATATCGTAACAAAAGGGAAATTGGGAGTCTGATGACGGGAATCATCCTCCCTTTTTTCAACTGATTCCAGAGATTTCCAAATTCGTTCGGTGTGTCTCGTTTTAATATTATAGGTGTCATTCAAAAGCTTATAACCTGGTGGGGATAACTATTTGGTCAAGAGTTCAAAGAGTTCTGCCGTTTTGGCGTCATAGGGCCTAATTTCGGCAATAAGAATAGCATTGTTCCGAATGCCTTCCTCGGCGAAGCGATCACAACCAACAATGAGAGTACGAGGCATTTTCTGCTTCGGAAGTTGTTGTTATGGTAACTGCTGCCAATGATCATGTGTCTTAAGGCCCTGGTACACGCGGCAAGAATTTGCCTGCAAATCCTTGCTAACAAGCACTTTCGGGAGCATGGTTGCTTCCGTTTTGGTATTTCGTTTCATTCGGTATTTTATATAGTATTTCATTTCAGGATGGTATGCCATTTCGTACCGGCGCCGGACCTCAGCCCCACGCCACTGCCTGCAAAGCCTTGCAATGATCCACCCCCAGGATTGAGCAAGATGATTCGAGGAGTTGACGTTACAAAGTTGGACTTGTTTCCCCTGGACTTCTCCAAAGACGATGGCTTCAGAAAACCCATCGTTGACTTCACCTGCGACAAGGGAGCCACGGTTTCCATCAACGAGGTCAGTCAGAAATGGAGCGAATCCTATGTCCTTCATGGCCTTTCCATCATAAATGGAAAAGTGGACTGCGAAGCAGTCAGGAAACTATCTCAGCCAATCTTAATAATGGAAACTTTTTCCAGTTCATTCATTGTGAGGTGAGGTTGTATCAACCTGAAAATTACACTTCACAGAATATAGAAATCAGCTAACGAAAAGAATGCAATAAATATAGAATCCCACCCCCTTCAAACGAATCTCATAACATGTTACCACTGCCGCTCCAAATAGGGCAATTGCAGCATTCCATCGGGAAATTTTATGAAATGCTGAGTAAGTTTTCTCCAATTACAATGAGTAGAAAATGAAGCAACTGTACAATCCCATATCTGGACGAATCCTTGAAAAACCGGGCAAATGTCTGACAATTGAGGCAAAAGGGATTAATAAATTTATAGCACTCAGAGCCCCTTTTTGCTTTTTTTCGTGCCCGAATGGTTTTTGTCGAATAGGAGGAGATTTCTACGTATTCTAACATTGTTCCCTACATCTCCTTTTTACTGTTGCTCATTTTTAAAATTTATTTTGCTTCTCAAAAGTCTTACAATCCAGCAGTCCTGTTTGCTCTTGTCCAAAATCAAAAGAATTTCATAGCAATCAATAGGTCGGTGACCAAGACTCACAGGTCATAGCTTAAACAAAGACCCATGCTCGACTTATGACTTAGACTTCAGAGAAACTTATAGAAATCAACATATCTGCCTGCAAAGATTGATACTCGAGACGAATATCATGACGCTTGATCTGATTTTGACGAAAGTCGAAACTTTGCTCGTAGAGAACTTTCACTAAAAGCAGGAGTGGCCAACCTTTTTGCCCAACTGGGCCGCATTGCCCCTGAAGGAACCTCCCGCGAGCCGCAATACCTATTGTTTTAATATTTATATTACATTTACAATAAATTTCGCGAAGCGCCGCGAGCCAGATGAACTGTCACCGTGGGTCGGATCCGGCCCGCGGGCCGCAGGTTGGGCACCCTGCCTAAAAGGATCACCGAGCAGTAAAAACTTGGCTCCGATGCTTCAAGTCCTGAATTGGTCTACACTGTCTTTTTGTTTGGATCTCATGACTTCATGCAATTCAAATAATTTTTTGCAGAAAAACTACGACATACCGGAACAGGTATCGAGCGTGACGCGCATTCCGGGTGGTTCAGTCTTATCCGGAGTGCAGATCTTCAAATCCCACCGGGACGTGAAGCGTTCCATGGCCGTCGAAGCGGGCGCTGAGCTGACCCTCGAGACGTTCGGATTCTCATCTAGCTCCTCTTATCAGCACATGCAGAACACCATCATGAACACGTCACGCTACATCGAGGAGGTGTCTTCCTTCGATTCTGCCGTGCAGGCCGACTTATCCTTAGAGGAGGAATTGAATCTTGGCAAATCTGCCAAATCGTTCGTCGACAAACTGCTGCCGGCAAACTTCACCGATGATCCTGGTCCTTATGAGAAATTCATCGCAACTTTCGGCACGCACTATTTCCAAAACGGAAAATTTGGAGGCGTCATCAAGCTGATAATGGAGACTAAATCCGAGTATTTCGATCAGAAAACCGATGAGCAGATCAAAGCAGAGGCACAGACGTCCTACTCGGACCTTACCATCAAGATTGGCTACAAGGACTCAATCGTAAAAATCGACAAGAAGTTTGAAGAGATGACCACAAAACACGCCAGGTATGAAGTAATTCTATACGTGGCGTAGTCTGAGTGAGATCTGCGAAACTTAACCCCAACTTCGCGTAATGCAGAACCCTGTGTTAAAATGGCCCCTTTAAAATGTCCCGAATGCCGAAACCTCATTTAGGCGAGACGAAAGGTCCTTCTAGCCAAAGAGCAGGTTTTCCGACTTTGGGAATCCGTGGATTTCTTAAGGACCGTTAGCTGAAAGAGGTTTCAGCATTTGGGCCGTGAAGCCATTCCACTCGGCGCTTCTTGCATGTCATATATTTGCATGCTTGCTCATTTGGGGTCGAAAGGAATGCATATGTGTCGGAATGCTTCCACACGCTTGTGCATTGGGGGAAACGCCATGCACAAAGGAAAAATGAGAGCATGTTGGTGTTCGGAATCTGGCCGGACTCACCTCGAAACCTAAGCCTTGCGTTATCTCTTTACCTGCGAATACATGCTGCTAACATGTATTAGCAAGCATGTTGCTTTGCGTTCGAAGGTGCGCAGCCGTGTGCCGACACGCCTGTCGCATCAATCGCCGAATCGCCATTACAAGAGACGGGAAATATGTCACGTCTCTTCCAAGCAATTTTTGTATTATTTGCTTGGGGCTTCCTAGAATACGGAATTCGGGTGGAAATGGGGTGGGGGAATAATTCTCGGGCTATGCAACTGGACCCCGTTCGGGTGCCAAATGCGCTTCAGATCCTCTACAAAACATATTTCCTATCCCTCAATTATTGCTATTGTTTGGGTACAATATTTCCAGTACCCTTTGAATTCGAAAGGTATTGACTTTGGAAGTGTCACTCTTATCGGCATTTCATTTGTCAGAATGGGTTTCTCAATCCACTAGTGAAGACTAGCTTCCATCAGAAATGTTCTCCCCTTCTCGGTGGAATGTGGAATACTTGGAATATGTGTCTAATATCGAGTAACCACAAACTACAATCACGGATCGAACACGGGGTTGCCACACTTGTTCCCACATGTTGAGTACTCCAGAAGTACTACGCAGCCTGCCGGGATGAGGAAGTCCAAAGTTGAGATCCAATGAGACACACTCAAGGTGAGAATCTTGGGCAGTACACCGAGTTGGCTGCGAGATGGAAAGCATTTGTGCGAACATCCCAGTGAGCTGACAATGTAAGCCCCATGCTGGCGTAGTAGTGCGGCAGCGAACATTTATCATAAATTTGCGCAGGTCATCTGGCTCAATTACTCGAACGTATAAGATTTCCTCTAATGGAGCCTAAGTTGCTGAGGTAATGAGTCATTTTCAAATGCTAATGAAGTAAGTAACTTACTGAATTTTATCTGAATTTTCCTCCATAAACAATATAGAAAAAGTCACTAAAATTTCTCCATGTATTCCCATGAACATGAAAAAAAGAAACTCGGCAATTCTGGAGGAAACATGATTCAAATGGTAATGCAGATCTGGGCCTCCAGATTGTCGGTCAAGCGTGGTATCACTATACCACCGAACACAGGAGATTCGGTTCTTCCTCTCCATGCCATCCGTATCACTACAAAGGGAAGGTTTCATCCTTCAAACATTATCAATATATTAATATTACGAACGTGATACAAAAAGTCATTTTCGGAATTAGACATTTACAGGCACTCAAGACGTCTTGAAGGATGTCTTCAAAATGTCTTATATCTATGTATATACGAAGACAACTTCAAGACATCTTACACGCCCAAGCAGCAAGCTTACGTTAATATCATATCAAATTAATTGTAATTTTTTTGTCCATTTTATATATATTTTACGCAAACCGTCATCAACATATTGTCAACATGTTTGCAGAAGTGTCACCTCTGTGATACGCAGATATATAAACATGACGAACATTTTACACAAAATTGACATTCACGTTTACATCCCAAGCAGCATGTTTGCATAAATATGATATGAACAGCAGGATAATGTCCTCGCGCCGATGATCGCAGGAGAAAGGGAATTGCGCGTGAGAGTCATAGTGATGTCGACCCCTCTTAACTTCCGAGTACCGAGGCCGAACGTTCCTACCTACGCTAGGCAAATGAGACAGGTTCCGAATACGATCAGCGGTAAAGAAGACATTGGGCTTTGGCTGGGCCTATTACTAAGTGCGTTCAACTGTGATTACTTTCCATTAGAGAATATTTTTTCCATAAATCGTCATCCAGTGAACAAAATCGAAATCCACACTCTAATCATCCCGTGTGTGCACAGGCTTTCGACTAGTGTACTTTATATCAGGTGAAGTCATGTCTAGTTTATATGAAATACACATCCACTTTGGTGATGTAAATATAGAAACGTAATTTTTGTATGGATGTGATATTTCCATGACAATCGCAAGAAATTGACATTAGCCTTGTTTCGACTAGAAGAGATTCCCGGGAATTTCCCAGGAAAAAGAAAAGGTGGGGCAAGTCGAAGCACTCAGCCAGGGAAATTCCTGGGAGCGGCTCGGGCTTTTACCAAGTCGAACCACTTGGCCCGGGCCCGAGAGAGTGTGCCTCCTCTACCCAACTTTTATCCTCCTACTAGTCCTGCGCGAGTGCGCGCGTCATGTCCTCGTGCACTCGCTGACCACGAAACTGAAGCTTTATTGAAACTATTCAAGGAGCACAATGTTCAATCGATATTAGATTGGGCAGCGAGAAACAACAAGGCTTATCGCCCGCCTGAAAAGCAGATACAGGACAAAGAAAAAACTGAAAGGTCATTATTTACCTATATCTTATTTTTTTACATGAAATTCTCTAAAAATAAAATCATACTGTCGAAGAGAATTCATTGTGTTTCCATACACTATCATAGAAATAACATGGTCTATTCGAAAGTAGCATGCTCTCAAATCAATATGCAAAAAATCGAAGAGCAAGTATCCAGTGAAACAGCCGACCTGAGAAACTGAAACGAGGTGCGAAAAGGGTCTCCCATTCCCTCAGGGTGTGTTCCCGGGCCTTAAAAATGCTGTTGGGCCAGAAGGGTTAGACATCTAATGAGGCAGGTAATGAAAGATGACACATCCCGGGAAAATCTAGGCCCGGGAATTTCTTCTAGTCCAAACAAGGCTATTGTTTGCAAAAAATTGATGTCTTGTTTACATAAACATGCTGCCTGGGGGCATGTTTGTAATATTTATTTAATTAGATGCAAATCCAGACACATCCATGCGGTGAGATGGGTTCCTCGGCATCTCATTAGTCAGCATGTCTTACTTGATATTGCACTGGGGCAGAAGTATTCAAACATTGAGGCTCGTCCCCCAATGGGTTGCGGAAGCTCAAGAGAAAAATCGTTATTCCTAGCATCCGTCCTCACCCTCTCGTTAGACGAAGGGCTGGAGCGCGATGTTCAATTGTTTTGAGAGTGAGCATTAAAACGTTTGAAAACTGCTGCATCTTTGTAAAAAGGATAAAAAGGTAAAGCATATAAATTTTTATAGATTTTCTTAGAATGCAGAGGACTTGACACTGTTTTTCACTGAACTTTACTTTTCACTGTGAGCTTAAATTTCAAACTAAAAGGCACTACTTCTCTTCCAGGTACTATGGCGGCAACACAAACTTGCTTGCATCCGATGGGATGCAGATCTGGCAGCCAACGGTGTTGTCGGACCCCTGGCTGTTCTCAGGAAAGCTGTCACCCATCAGCAATCTGATCCGGGAGGAAAGGAAACGTACTTCCATGGAGCAGGCAGTCACCAACCACGTACTGCACGCCTATCTTGGGGAGCTGGCCAGGATCGTTCAAGCGATTAACTTAGGTTGTAATTCCAGAAAGAAGTGTGTCGGAATATTTGGGACTCTGACCATTTTTGATATTTTGACGAGAGATTCGCTCGAGACACTCACGGCCAGAATCACCGCACTCCAAGGCCAGCGTCTGCTGGACAAGACTGAAGTAGAGGGCCTTGGGAAGGAAGTGGAGACCATAAGGTCATTTTGGTCATAAGACCAAAATGGCCTTATTGATTCTGTGTCCTAAAACATAGATATCTTTCGTTTCATGCTTATCTTAAACTTCCTGTGACACTTCAGCTCATAAGGAAGTGGGTGGACCTAGGCAAATTGACTCATGCGGTTTACTTCATCTGTTTAAGTTCAATATAGCACAAAAAACTCAGATTTGGGAACATACTAACAAACTTTCGTGATTAATTTCTACACCAAATGCAGAGAAAACAGGAAAACCTCTGCACATGATTCAAGGAACAAAATTGCTGTACATTAGCTTCATGTCAATCATCCATGATTTATTTTAAGAGACATATCCTTTCATTAAGTTTTAGACATATTTAACAGAAGAAGCTTCCCATTTCACCCCATTTAGCATGCAAGGAAGTAGGCTCATGTAGATGCACCTCACCATCTTGGGGAAATCCATTATGAGTCATTCCACGTCAAATCAACACGCTATGAAACATGTACTCCTGATTTTCATGAAATTTGGACCAAGGCTTTGTACAATTGAGAAAGTGGGAAATCCTAAATACTTTTCTCCTCAGTCGCTTAGATCTAAAAATAAAAGGCTCTAAAAATAATGTCTGCTTTGTTACCCTTTAGCACCTCTGTCCCTTAATACGCTTATAACTTCTCTTCTTTTCCAGGTAGAGATATGCTTTATGGCTCTTCTGAAAGGTCTCTTCCTGCCCTTCCCGAGAGCATTAGATTCATTAGTAATATCTGAAGAAATAAAACGTAACGATAAAATCGAAACTCAAACTTATGACGTCATTTTAAAAAATACCCTTTTTTCTATTTTGACTAAATTTGGCTTACAGGCGTGCCTCTATAGGTAGAGCAGGTCTGCCTGGAATCGTCTTGGGATATTAAGAACTTTTTCAGATATTAACAGTTTTGTCACTGAAAAGTAAAAAATTGTCCCTTCTTAGATAAAACATTGCATCATTCCATATCAAATTAACACGCTACAAAACATGACTTTCCAATTTTGATTAAATTTAAGTCAATGCTTTGCAGTATTGGGAAAAGGAGGTATCCGAAATATATTTGTATTCAGTCAATTAGATCGGAAGATAAGGGATAATGAAAATGTTGTCTTTTTTGTCTTCAAGTGGCACCCCCTCTTCCTCAATATCGTAATAACTTCTCTTCTACTCAAGCTATAGAGATGCTCTATAGCTCTTTGTGAAGGACTTTTCCGTTCTTTTGGATATCATTCTAGTAAGTGTAATCTAAAACTGTAACACGTGGTCATAAAATATATGCACTGAGTTTTGAACTAACTTTGCAAAAATACCTTCTCTGGGATTTCCATCAAATTTGGCTGACACATGTCGGTAAGCAGGTACAACACGAACGCTAAAAATCATTGGGATATAAATAACTTTGTGAGATTTGGACTTTTACCCTATTCCCCGATTTCCCGATTCCCCTAGGTGTTAAGAGTTCATAGATCAGAAAATTTTCACGTTTCAGTGGAAAAGAAGTCCAAATCTCACGATGTTATTTATATCACAATGATTTTTAGCATGTGTTGCACATGTTTCCCGATATGTGTCAGCCAAATTTGATGGAAATCCCAGAGAATATATTTTTGCAAAGTGAGTTCAAATCTCAGTGCATATATTTTATGACCACGTGCTAGTTTTAGATTACACTTACCAGAATGGTATAATCCAAAAGAACGATAAAAGACCTTCACAAAGAGCTATAGAGCAGCTCTCTAGCTTGAATAGAAGAGCATCAAGCTTGACATCTAGCGGATCATCTGGAAAGCTTGCGTTTTCTCCGTTCTCCACAATAGGGGAGTCCCAATTCAATCCGAAAACAGTGTATTACCAGAGTTAAGCTAACACTGGATTCATCACTGGATTCGCATCTCCGTTTTCAAGCGTCAAGCCATCTCCGGATCCACCTTCATATTCCTACTGAGGCTAAGGGATAACAATTTAACCTTGAAACATAAAAAACGAACTGACTGCATTCTTCAGACTGAAAAATTATTGTGGAAGGGCGAAAATCATAATTATTAGCTTGATGAACATCATACGTTATTTTCTCACCAATAATGGAGAAACAATTCAACACCTCCCTCTCATGAAAATTTATTTTCTACAGGTAATTTCAACAAACCTCTTTCATTCATGACCTTCGGAAAATTTCAAATCCAAGAATAAAGTAATGGAAAAAAACGAACGTGAGAGCCAATCCCGAGCCGACATCCCCTCTCGCTCTCGTTTTTATCAAAAATTGTTCGACTTCGAATCGAAAGAATCCACATTTTGCTCCTTTTCTAGTTCTCGCAGATTCGCAGGAAAGGAAACTGTTAAATTGTCAGTTCCCCATTTGGATGCATGAAAAAAAATGCATGCTCAGGACAATATCTGCATTTCATTGCAAATAAATAAGGAGTAGATTTGTCCTTCAAAACAAAATAGGAGGACGTAAATAAAGGAAATGAGCAATGAGCAACAAACCTGTTCATATTTGAAAATCCTGTAGAACAAAACAAAAAAGGCAGGGTGAGGAATATTTTTTGTGAGTTAAGAAAGAAAAAGTACACAGCAAAGCAGAAACGTACAGTGAGGTACATATGTTGTACGTTATGAGGTACAAACGTATGACGTAAAATACGTTCGCTGAAAAAATGTACAGAAGCAAAATAAGGTACACATGTGTACCAATTTTGGCGTGGCTACCACGTGGTTTGACCCCAAAAACACGACTTCAAAGGGTGCTGCAACAACAGCGCCAGGGGTCGTCCAGAATCCAGCATCAAAAAGGAAAACCCTACACACCTGGGAAAACTGGTGCCAGAGGGTAGCAGTCTGAGAGAACTAGAAGAGTGGAAAATGCGAGATTGCCGCTCCAGACGTAACGAAGGCTTTTCAGTTCGCCTTTTTCAATAAGAAAACGTCCTATTCCTCGCTTTTGATATCTGAAGCACCCACCGTACAACCCTGATTTGTCGCCATGTCGCCTATCGTCGTTTCAACCAATGCACTAAGCCAGGGGTGTGCAACCTTTATCGACAGTGAACCGCATGGAAATGTGTGACTCTTGACGCGGGCCACAACATGCAAAGGAAAAGGCTCCCATTTTTTGTCCTCAGGGCATATGAGGGCATATTGTCGCATCGATTGGACGAAGATCCTTACCTCCTCCTCACCTCTAGGACATTCCCACGTCCAAAAATAGCCTTTGGCATTGAGAACCTTCCTCGGGACATAGAGTATGAAGGAAAAATTAGAAGGAAGTGAAAGGACTCAGTCTATCTCTTGGTACTAAGGGATGACCAAAGTTGTGATGGGCTTTCGGCCGCAAAAAGAAACTTATCTGTTATCCCATTATGCATTACTGGGCCGCAAGAAGCAGGTCAACGGGCCACATGGGTTGCACATCCCTGCACTAAGCTCTCCGTAGATGTCATTTTCAGTCTAATGGTGTCTTAACTATAGCAGTTTGATGGACTAGCATTCAAGAAGCATATTTCTCCCAAAGTGGAATACGGAAAACCGTACAGGGAGATTACTTCGAGAAATACGAGGGATTTCTCCAAAGTTCTGCCAGTAGCCCCAAAGAAATAAAAAATCTAGTGTTCCATGATTAAATTCTGATCTTTATTGCCACAGGCAACTATTTCACACCTTTTCCACACACTCCCCACCGATTTCAATGCATTTTTTCATGCGATGGATCCAACCAGGTGAAAAACCTTTTTTAAATAAATAAAAAATAAGTTTCCCGAACTGGTCCAGCACTTTGCGGCCGCCTCCGATGACGACTTGCGGGCTACTGGCAGAACTTTTGAGAAATCCCTCGTATGTTATTTTTGTATCTCAGTCTATTGTCAATCCTTATCGGATCAACCAGGATGGCTAGAATTCTTTCTCCTGAGAGGCCTGCAAGCTCAGATTGTTTTCACATAGCCAATGTTAGACGGCATGCAATGATGTTCAAGGATTCGACAGAATTTTACAAAGGAATTTTATATTCAGAGAACTGGAACGCCGATTTTTCCGTAACTGAAATTCAATCATTTTTGTCTAGGTCACCCTTTAAGATATTTCAAGTCTGAAATGAGCATTTTGCAGCCGAGTCTTTCTTCTTTCCATTACATGTAACCGGGACAAAAATCCTTGAAAGCATCACACCTAAAATGCACATTGAAAAAAGTGCCCTTTCTTGGGTCACCGTGTAGATATGAATAAAATGACAAAACTCCCCATACAGTCAACATAGTCAACAAAGAATTATTGCGTTAAAACAATGAAATAATGAGCTTACGTGTCTATTACTATATATCTTTGGAGTTATATATGCAAAGAAGAGTGTGACGACCACAGGCAGGAATTAAATTCACAATAGGAACGTACTGAATTTTTACTTGGTGATTCTCATGCTGGAAGTCATATGACGTCACGATTAATATATTCTGAAATAAATGTATTTTTAAGGTGTAGAAGGCGCAGGAATTGCCAAACCTTATCAAGGTGTTTGACCGCATCATTCGGGGTGAGCTCCGAAAGCGAATGCTTTAAATTCCATAGTGATTTTTCCCTTTATTATAGAACGTCGAAGGCGCGTCCTAGTTGCATGGGCTTTTTTTTTTACTATGCTAGTTTTGACTATGTTCATCCAGCCAACATCTGACACGACCGAAAATTCCGCATGTTTTTGGAAACTTCCTCGTTGAATTTTCGGCGCTTAGATGGAATATGCTTTTCGATATTTGATCGAAGCATGAAAATGCTCATCATCATCATCAGGCTTTACGTTCTCACCAGTCGTCCCTTAAGACAGTCTAGAAAACACTTCCATCTCTGCTGAGAGGCTTTCGATGATCAGCGTACCGCTGTAAAATGCAGACGGATAATGTATTTCTTGTCGAAGAATACTTGTCTCAGCGAAGAAATGAATACTTCAAAAGAGGAGGACGATGTTCCTTTTCTCACTGCTACTCTATTAGATGTTGATGGCAAGGAATTTTGCAGGAATCCCTTGAAGCTTGAAGAGCTTAATGAGCTGCTGGTTGAGGGCCTAGTCCTAAATCGAAGGTCGTCTATTCGTCTATATAATATACCTTTTTCTTTGTGATTCTCAGGCCTTCCTGCAAAGACGCCAACCCGCTCCCCCCAAAGGAATCGCTAAGATGATGGAAACAGGGAGAGCGCGCGGGCCAGTCGATGAGCCGAGGGAGAGCAGAACAGCTCCGACTGTCGACTTTCTGGCCTGTCAATGAGCTTCCGTTTCGTCTTTTGTCTGACGTCTGTAAGCACATCCCAGTTTCGATTCCGTTCTCGATTCATTCGCGATGGCGCAACTGCGAGAGAGAGAGAGAGATGTGAAGAGCATCTTGCTCATTAATGCAAGACTGAATGAAAATTTCGGTTCATCGGGTTGAGGGTCATCCCGTCTCATGGACTTTTGGACCACCGGACAATGGAGTCCAGTCTCATTACGTGTTGCGTTTGCTGAGTTCTCGGATGAATTCAGTACCATCATCAGATCCGTCAATGAATTCATTTTCGTGTTGGACAATGCTCAAGTGCACAAAAGGGTCATTCCCTCCTCCCCCCTACAGCCCCTGGTTAAATCCCATCGAATTCACGTTCTCGTCCTTCAAACAGAAGTGAAGAGACGGAGAGGTGCGTTGCAGGCCCCAATTGCTTACCCTCAGTTGGCAGCCGCAGCAGAGATCACTCTTACGAGATATCGATGTCCAATGAAAAACATCTGTGAAGAGTCGATTCGCAACGTAAATGCGGATGCCTCATGTAGACATGCATGCAAGAATTCTCTTCAATGCGTCAATACAGCGTCGGCCAGAAATCCCATTCATGAATGAAAGCATTTCGCTTTTCGGTCACCTGTCGTCTGGATTCTTACTTATCGGAGTATGATTTGGCCTCGTAGTCCCTCTCTGTTTCTCTGTCTAGATGGAAGGTGAAGGAAGGTGAAACGGAGACACAGCGGCTTACACGCGCCCCTCTTCGTCATGTTCACCATTCCTTCATTCGCCCCTGCGTGCTCCTTCGGGCATGCGGGTTGCTTGAATGGCAGGTATGCCCAAGAATCACCTGAAAAAGGTATAATAGCCTGTCTGTCCGCCGGAGCTCTGCACGGGTCGCTTTTTCGAACCCGACCCGATCGGCCCGATTCGAATCGTGGTCCCCCCTACCCGAAACTCGATCGCCAGACCGAGCTTTACGCACCCGACCGTCGTGTCGGGCCGATCGTGCCTGCCCGCAACCCGCTGAGGCCTCTCAGCTTCAGAACTTGAGGTTTTCTGTGTACGTCTTCCTTTTAAGCAACTCTGCTGGCTCTGCTGACGCTTTCAGCTATCCCATGACGTCACATTCGTGCCGGCCCGTTCAATGCTCACACAGTTCGCTACGTTCTGCTGGCAGCTGCTTGCCCAGGAGTGACGTCATTGAAGGGCGTGATCGCGTCGAGCGCTGACGGAACGAGGTTTCGTTTTACGCCAGCAGCTCTAAGCGGCTGGAGAAAAAGACCCCTCTGATAGCATTTTCTCCTGCGCCCAGCAGGAAGCTTAATTGCTGAGCTGCCGACTCGATATGCAGAACGGGTCGGTCCAATAAAGTTGATCTGTGCATGGCTCATAATCATACCTTATTCAATGCCCGGACGGAAACCACTGGCATTTTGTATATAGGGACAGGGGCGTGCCCAAGCGGGGGGGAGGGGGGAAGTGGAGGTTATGGGTCTCATAACCCCCATATCTACCAATTTTTCATGTCAATCCCCCCTCCTCCCATTGTGCTTTTCTGGGCACGCTACTATCTAGGGAAATTGGGGGTTTTGGGGAGGGGGGGGAGGGGGTGAATGACCTGACGCAAACAGTATTTAGGGAACAGAAGTCGATTAACCTTAAATAGGAAGACATGAATGTTTCACAGGTAGCAGCTAGTACTAATAGATCATAATATGCGAGACCAATACCTCCATATAGTAGCCAAGAGGAGCACTTCAACACTTCCAAAAAAACTTATAAGTGCAACTTGGGCACATTGGATCATGGCATCGGTCCGCCATTGGGTCGATGATGGAATGGCAATATTGGGAAACCAACATTTAGCCGATATTGGCAATATTGGCGAAGGTGTAGCCAACGTGATCAATGTTGGTCCAGCATTGAGCCAATATCTGGTGCTACTGAGGTGGGGTTCAGTCTCTCATGGCCCTTTTAAGCGAGGACGTCTAACGTTAGATCGTTTAGAGCTGTTTCGAGTTTCATGAACCGTTTCGGTTCGGACGAGGAACGTTAGGCCTATCTAGAGGTAATAGGCGCTACCAAAGTCTATTAGGGAAAGGTGATGTAAAATGGGATACTCAGGTAAAAATGGTACACCGAGGTTTCAGTGACTCTGCATTGCTGCCATCTAACGGCAGTGAGTGCATGAGTAGCAGGCATAATCACAGACCATTTGCATATGACGGGCTTCATTGGAAGCGAAACGCAAGTGGATCAGAGGAGAAACTTTTTTTGTATAGTCCTCTGTATAAATAATGGTCAACAAATGTAGTGTACTGTACATGTCTGTTAAAAAAAGGAAAAAAAACCGTTTATGATGACATGTCTATTAGGGATCCTAATGAAGTTGCTGCTGGGCATCATAGTGGTTTTTTTTGGCACAGTCACTTAGTTTCGTTTCGGTCTCTGTTTCAACATGGAGGCATGATGCTGGGTAAAACGGGATAGCTCTCATGTGGGTGAAATGGTATACATTCGGCCCTCGTTTATCGCGGTTAATCAGTTCCAGACTCTACCGCGATAAGTGAATTTCCGCGAAGTAGGATTCTTTATTTATAAATCGAATATTTTCGTAGTTAGAGCATAGAAAACCTGTTTACGACCTTCTAAATACGGGTTTTAACATTATTAGAGCCCATTTCATTTTCACTGTCTCGATCAACTTTTTTATGAATATATTTGAAAAAACCGCGATAGAGTGAAGCCGCGAAAGTCGAAGCGCGAAGTGGCGAGGGACGACTGTACTCAACCATAAAAAAGATCATGCGTCTGCATGCATTTTCAGGGATCCTCATGCAATTTGGATTCGTGCCTCCCAATGGCAGTCGCATGCCTGTTCACTCCTTTCTTTACCATTTCAACAAAATATGCCATAACTCATGAATGGGTACCCATAAATTCATATAATTTCAAGAGCTCTAGGAAAACATAGTAGGCAACGATCCATTAAATCTTTCAAGCTAATCAAGTACAAGGTATGGATTGCATAGAAAATTTTCAAGTATCATTCTTTTCGTCATCCGTGTATTTCGAAAGGGATCATTCTGAAACAGCGTCTGCACATAGTTTGCTCATATGAAAACCGGTTCTGGAGCATTTTAATATGTCCACGTACATACTACATATGAAGACTCCCATAATATGCCCTATACGCAAAAATGAGGAAGAATTTCCATTTCACCCTTATACGTAGACATGCTTATATTGAACTTTGCCCTTCGGGCAAACTCGCTATGGTCGCGCCTTCGGCGCTCCATTGTCCAGGTTAGTGATACATTTATTAATTTTTTGAAAGTGGCAAAAATGTATAAAATGTATGCAGAGAGAGAACGAACCAATATTTCCATCAAAATTATTACACCAATTATTTATTGTGTGCCTGACTTCAAATCTCTTCTTAATTTGTCCTGACCCCCTCAGAGGGTCAGGACAGATATTTAATTGAAAAATAAGATATGCACTTAAAAATCGAACAGGTACTTCTGCTCCAAGTTCCAACTTTCTTTAACTCTCTTCTTCATTAAATCAGAAAAGTTTCCGGAAAAGGTATCTTTCGCAAAAAAAATTATGCTCTCAAGGGTTTAACCTAAAAATTAACTTTTTTTTTTTTTTTTTTTTTACTGAAATCAGTACTCGGAGAACATCGTGCATGCCAAGTTTCATCCTTATTCGTTTGCTCTTTTTGCTGGTACAAAAAATCTTATAAAAGCCTTATGGTACTTTGGAGGCCTGTACCTCCAAAGTCGGATTTTTTCTGAATTCTGCATCCAAAAAGGTACACGTGTACCAAGTTTCAGATTTCTAATCTGAAACTTCTCTAGAACATGGTTAGAATTAGCGTCTGTCAGTCACGATCGTCTATATATATTAGATACATTGTAATAAAATATAAGTCAAGAAACACCGCCAATATGATTTAAAATTGACCTCATCAGGAGGCGACGATAAGATTCAAAAGATGAAAGGAAGAGGTCAATAGATTACATTACGCAAAGCAATGCGATCCACCCGCCTACGGGTCGTATGATCCAATAGAAAGGACCTGTACGACCCGCCGGCGGGTCGTATGGCAGCGAAAGTGTTAAAAATGTAAAAATTGAAAAAGAAGTATGAAATAAGGCCAACAAATTTTAATATCGTTGGCTTTTATTATTATTGAACATTAGGTACATTGGCCCTCCTGTGAATTGACTTTTTTTTTAATATAGCCCAAAGTTCTGTGAGGTACTGTCATGAGGATATGAGAGTCAAAGATTTTCAATGAACAACTTTGTGTAAGTAAGAACATAGTCAACCTTGTTCTCGGGTTCAAAGCACTTCCAGACGATTTTTTCTTAGCAGTGTTGAGATCTGAACCTGAACAAATAACCGACGAAGGTACTTTCCAGTTTGCGGGCAAAAGCTACTCCGGACCAACGGATAAATAATCTCTCCCACTGTATGCTGCAATGAACATTTTACACTTGTGTATTCACATAACTTTGAGACAGGCATTCCTTTTTTAATTTGGAAACAGCTTAAAATGTGGCAAATAGATCAGAAGACGGAGAGGAGGGCGAAGACGCCGTAAAGTAGTGCACAAGGATAAGCGACGAGAGGCTGCTGATGATCCATAGCCAGAGCGGTGACGAACAACTTTGACGCCGACCAACTACACCAGAAGACGCTCAGCAAAGTTGCCACCAGTCCTATTCCTCCTCTACAAAAGAAAAAAAAAGTTATCAATATAGCAGGGGAAAGCACAAAGATAGCAGCAGCAGGCAAGGCAAGGTCGAGTCCATCCTATCGCCTCGCATTAAATAGCTAATAGTGGAAACAACCTTGGGCTGTATGAGCAGAGAACAATTATGGCAACTGTTCTAATTCAATGATCACAGACTAAATTTTGACCAAGAATAACCGAATTGAATCTATGTATTTGCCGTTTCGATTCATTGCAAAAAGATTCGAGCCTGATTGGAAGAAACAGACGCTTTCTCTATTAGCTTCATAAGAGACCCTTTACAAGAAAATTCCAAAACGTAGGATCGCAATTCGTTTGTATCGGTGTACTCGATTGGAACGCTCGTGGGCGAATGGCGTCTTCATCAACTAACTCGGGTTTGCGACAGACGCCTCTACGGTACAAGGAACTTTTTTTTTTTCCTGAGTCGTAAATTTTTCCGATTGCCAAAGTATGCAAAGTTTGAGATGAGATTAAATCGAACTGCTCATAATATTAATTTAAGGTCTTTTACAGGGTGGAACAAAACAATCGCCATGGATGGTGATTGTTTAATAGTTCATACAGCTGCTAAATTTTTAACATAGCTGTTAAATCAGTAGTAATTTAGACGCGCTCATTCATTATCTTTCTTCGTCTGGAACTTTTTTTCCTACGGCAAGAAAGAAAAAATCAATTTCATGGGCATTTTCTTCCAAACGCGAAGATAAAAGAATTTTTTTTTTTGAGTAGTGACAAGCTAAGCTCACAGCGCTTGTTGAAGAAAAAGAGAATCCTTTAGCATCGCCGTCTATAATAACAGGTCATTTCAATTTGACCTTATATACATAAGTTTTAAATATCTAAACAAATTAAGAATGTTTATCCTGGCATGTTAACACAATGAGCGGAAATTTTTTTTACCTCGCGCCATTAAAAAAGGATTGTATTTCAATGAAGTAATCAATTTTATTGATTAAATCCGATCAGGGAAGAGTTCTTTATCCTCAAAATCGCATGAACGCGTCTTAAGCAGTACGTATGTAGCGATCAAATGAAAAAGATTGAGTTTTTTTTTGTTTTTGCCCCAGATGCTACACCATAATTTTTGTAACCGTAAATCCAGAGTGGCAGGAGACGTGATTCCCTTCACCGAGACACATTCGTTTTCCCTAATCCGATCGAAGCCATTACCAGAAAGCAATTTCCGGGAAACAAAATATTCACGCCGCGTCTTGTGGAATCACTTCCGTTTCACTCTTGAAAAGCTTCAGCCGATCTTTTCATTTTAGAATGAAGACGTAATCCTTATAACACTCTTCTATACTGGATCATGTGGAATCTCACAATTTACCATCGGTTCACTCGCATTAGCCAATATTTCTGAGGAAATCGGATTAGACGCAAAGGATATAAGATGAAACATGTATCATGTACAAATGCATTACACATATTAATGTCGAGCTCAAAAATAGGTTTGAGGAATCATGCTCTAAAATTTCTATGTTTCTATTTGCAGATGCAGTGTGGAAAATCTCAAGGAACCTGAGGAAAACCTAATTTGTCAATTACGAAGTATACACGAAGAAAGGTTTGAACGAATAACTGCAAAAAGTCATTAAGTAACTTTCTCATCACAGCCCCATATTCTCAAGAAATAACGAAGAATTAGAATAAAGAGGAGAGAGACTGACTTGAGGGTGAAGATGACGGCGAGTCCGGAGACGCCGACCATGGGGAGGAGGCAATAGCCGAGAACGCTCACCGTCACCCCGATGCTCACCCCATCCATGCTCATCATGTTGAGGAGGAAGTACATCCCCAGGCATCCCACCACGCCGATCCCATAGATGTACCCAAAGTGCACCTTCCCGTTCTGTCAAAACAAGCGCTCTCATTCGCAGGGGTCTTCCACAGTCGGATCGCTTTCGTGTTCTCCGAAACTCACCAGGAGGAGGAATGCCCCGAGGGCGAGGCAGAAGGCGAGGGGACCGGCTAGATCTGTATCCTGCAGGATCTCGGGTTTCGTCTGCTTCATCGGGTTCAGGACGGCCAAAGTCTAAAACGAATGAGCAAACGAAAAACCATTACTTCCTGCTCATTCTGCCATCTACGAAGGAATTCCACTACTGGACGCTCCATGTACATCCCACTAGATGCCACGACAGCCCGAACTCCCGAGTACAATAGCTTAGCTTGTTCTCTCCTAAGTGCTAGCGGCTTCAGGATTATTGGTTTAAAAGGGAGGGAAAAGGCTATGAGATGCTCGTAAAACTACATGAAATGTTGAGTACCTCGTGACGGGGGTGGTAAGGACACTTGAGAAAGGACATGGGTGAAATATATGTTCAGGTCTTCAAATTTCCTTGTATATTAATATTTATTCAGATGCTTAGGAAAGCGTCTTTTCCATTTTTTTTTTTAGAAAATTCCTTGAACTGTATCCCATTCTAGACAAGTAATTGCATTCAGATTCCTGGAAAATTTTCAGTTTCCATGCAATAGAGACGTTGGTAAGCATACTATGCAAGGATCAAGGAATTAAGTAGTGAAAATGATCGCAAAGTACCCCAAGCAGGATTGCAAGGAAATGATATTGAGCCACAGGTCAGCCGAGGAAAAGGTACAAGTGCTTCCAAAGAAATATGACCGTCTGGTCTCCTGAGCTCGAATTGACCCACTTGACAACCCTGACCTGTCATTCCATCCCCTTTGCCACGTCTTTTGAGGTCCCACTTGTAGTATAATTAATCCATCTTCCTCCTCTGTCGGCTCCCTTTTACAAGCTCATCCTTCATCGCAAGAGCGTTTTTTATTTTTAACAGGGAATGGAATAGAGATAGAGCCCATACTCTACATCATTCGTGTCCAATAGGATTTTGATGCTCGCCAAACTTGTGGCGATCTGGTCCCCCACATGATACAAAATATATGCAATATTAATTTAAAAAAGGATACGCAATCTTTTGAAAGTAGGTTTGAGGTTGTAAGTCAATTAGCCACATTTCTGTGGCCGATTCGCCACATGTGGCGAACGTATTGGACACCATGGCTCTTCATGCACATTGGAGCATCTAATACGGCTGCGAATATCGATAATATATGAGGAAAGAACCGTTAGGTCCGAGGTCCTTGGATGGTAGTTTCCCATGCGATGCCAACAATGCAAAGAGAGCAAAATTACAGCATCATCATGGAAAGACTGCTACTCCAACTCCATAAATTATTATATTCCCTGGAGATTATACACGTCAGCTCGCGACACCAATTCTCTTTCCCGACATGCCAAAAATGACAAAAATTATGACACCTTTCCCACTCCAGGTTATTTGTCACTTTTGACGTGGATCTGCATAGCTTAGAAACGTAGCAAACACCTCCGCCCCTCCCCTCTCTCTCCCCCCCCCCTCTGGTGCAGTTAAGCTGCCATCATTATGGAAAACCGATGTGGCTTATTTGCTTTGCTTATCTGCAAGAGAAACGTTGCTATTTAAAGCAGCTTTTATGGACTACAAAAAGACAATTGATTCGGTCCTCCGTGCGAGACTTATCACAGATAATGAATCTAGGATAACGGGGGCAGCTCCTTGGTCTTCTTGAGCGCATTCTCTCAGATTACATCAAAATCGACGATGGCCAACGAAAAACGAAGTCATACAGAAATTGAGGGTCCTTCAAGGGGATTCCCTCAATCCATACTTGTTTACCTGCTTCACCTGGGACTTCCTTTCTTATGATGTTTGCGGATTATTTTTTAATGCCCCTTCTCGAGAAGCAATAGCAAAAGATCTGGAGGCCCTACAATTATGATCAGAAGAGAATGAACTCTCGGTCGATACAGATCATCAAGTTTAGGATGGAGGGGGGGGGGGGGGTCGTTGCGACGGTGCTGGGGCGTTTTCGAATTTGACGGACATGATCTGGGAGTAACCTTCCAGACAACTTATTGCTTCGCAAGACAAATCAATAACGTAGTTTTGAGAGCTACGCGAACAACGTGCCTATCCTAGCCTAATCCACGTAAGCTGTCTGTCCAGACTGGAACCAAACTGTTCAACTCAACTTATTAAACCAATTTCAACATATACTCCACTGGCCTCAGCTGAAAACAGTCAACCTACACACCTTAATCCGGGCGAAAGCCACCTTTCCGAAAAGGACGCCGTCCCTATCAGGAGCTACCAATACGCTTGTGCTGGCCGTGTGCCCCCAAGAAAAAGCAGTAGAGGATCTCATTAAGGAAATGAATCTTCCCGAGAAGGAACTCGTCCGGCAATACACGATGGATGTGGGAAATAAGAAAGGAGACATATAAGAGGATTTCGGGACGATCCCAGCCTTAACATGGGACCACATGACTGGACCGAGCAATGACAACCGACATATGCCAATTCGATACTCCCTCCATGGTTTTCACTTCAAAATATGTCAAGACTAAAGGACAGAAGGACGCGAATGCCGACTCGGTGGGGAGCCATTCAGCACCTATCATTTACCGTCCTGCCGCAAGAACACGAACTCATTGACAGTGGACAACGTTGGAATAGAGGAATCCTACTCTACCTTTCTGCAAATGTTCATAATCGCCAAAAAACCATGTTATGGTACGATAAAGTGTTCCATTCGTAATATATATATATATAGCTCTTAATCGGAAAGCTTCGATCCCAGACTAAACAACCTAAGAGCAATAAAATAAGCATAACCTACTATCAATATTTAAAAATGCACGATCGAACCTGACCCAAGTTTTACACGATACAGCCTGATTTACTTCATGTGCTGACAGGATAAGCGAACGGCAAAAATTTTAATCCTGTTGTGCCCCTTGACCCAACGTGACTTCAATGCCTCACCAAATCACGATTGAGCTAGAAAGCGCATATCCTTTTAAAATGGAAAGAAAACACTCTCTCCATCTCCTGTCACAATAGTAAAAAAAAAAAAGAAACTTGAGCGAAAACAAGGCGACCCACCACGCAAGGTCGCGCGCGTCGCATCGCGCATGCGCGCGGGGGATCGGGGGCTGCCGGACGTCCGGTCTTCGAAGTTTTGGAATCCGGCCAGGGACTGTGATGGAATGCCCATGTCGTAATTCGCGCAACCCCTTCCCAGGTGTTTCGCCATCGGGAGGGGGATAATGATGCAATCATAACGACAATGTGGGTGACCATTCTTCCCGCGAACAAACCGTATGAATAGACCCTAAGAGAGACCGGGGAAAGATAATTGATCCTCCACATGAGACAGTGCCATCAACACGTCCTCAAATGAGAGTCGTACGTCACGGCACAATACAGGAAGGTGTATGTATTCATTATGAGCCCGACGTAGAATAGAATGAATTCCTTCCGGTGCATTATTCAACGTTTCAGGTGAGGGAACATCGGAAGGGCACCAAAGACAACACGTAGATAACCGTTATTGACTCCCTTGGAACGTAAAGGCATCATTCCGTCCACGCCTTGGGTACACACTCCACGCGATGGGGTAAAATACGGGGGAAAAAAGGACATTTGAAGCAAATCCTGCAGGCGATCCTATTTGAAGAGAGACTCTCATGAGGAAAGCCAGGACCAAATGAATCCCTTCTACCCCCCTCCCCTCGCAATTGAATAGTCTGGCTCGTCATCCCGCATCCTCGCATGCATTCTTCGCCCCGGAGCAAAAACGACCACGAATAAAAAAGGGAGTTCCATCCACCGCCTTCACAAAAGTAGAATAAATGAGCGAAAACAGCTCGAATCGATGGCTCGTCCTCGTTAATGAAGAGGAAGGCGTGAGCAGAAGATCCAAACGTCCGCTTGGATGCACTAACGAGCGCCCTCCTCTTATCAAAGCGACTTTTTTCTCCCCGCTCGAGCAACTACCGACTCGAGCACCCTCTCGCCGCGATTGCATTTCATACACGAAAACGTGTCGAGTCCGACCGAATGATACGAGGAAGCGTCGAGAGAGGAGGGAGGGGGCATGTGGGGAGTCTCCCAGGAGCTTATTAAGTGGCTCATTAGAAAGGGAGCCGAGCTTCATTCACCGGGGGCGATACCAATAGACTCTGGCCATGCGAGGGGAAAATTCCCTTCCAGCCGTCCCGACTGTATATCGAGCTGCGACCTCATATTCCGAGCCGTACATCATCCTGCGATGAATGAGGAAGGAAGGAAATATGGAACTAATTAGTACTGCCGGATGAAAGCGTAATAACCGATGGCACGGGAATCGCGCAGCTTCGTTCGATTGCACGGGGATTCGAAGAACGAGGAAAGAAATGGGAATCGAGTGAGGATCATAAACGCACATGACGTCACTCGACGGAGAGGATCGAGGAAAGCAAAAGAAAAAAAGAATGAGCCAGACACGGAGCACATCGTTAGGCTTAGATTTGATCCGACAGCAAGAGGGGAAAAGGCTGAAGGAGGGGAAATCCTTCTCGGTTATTCGACTTGTCATCGACGGTGCAAGTGGGGCCCGAGGAATCGGCATGATGTTCAGATCCCCTAGATTTGCCTCAACGAAGCCTGGAGCTGGTCTGGGAATATCGCCGAGGAGAAATCACCGCAGGAGGGAGACAAGAAAAGAAGGTTGAAGGAGCATGGATTAAGGGAAATACGAGAGAAAAAAACCTATAGGAAAGAGGAACTAAAAAAAAGGAAAGGAAGGAAAGCACGGGCCACTCAAGCCCTTATTAGCTGCCCTTCCCCCCCAACTTTCTAGTTCCTGCAAGCCCCTTAAAATCCCTCTTTCCTCCATCCCTCAATGCTGGCAGGCTTTCCGATGGAAACCCTGCAATCCAGGAATTCAGAGCCCGATCGATCCTTCTCGAACAAGTTTCTCCCCGCCACAAGAGACCCAAATTCCTCCGGTACCTTAAGCAAGCGAAACGAGAGACGGGAACAAATCCTCCGATATAATGAGCCCTTCCGTTCCATCCAAATGGAGGGAAGGAAGTTTCCCCCCACCCCCCTGGGTACAGTGACAAATACCGGCTGTCAAGGCGCAGGAAGACTTCCTCATCGCCATCATCATCCATTTCCGCCGCCACCCGAAATATTGTGACGCATAGAAGAGGGGAATTACAGTTTTTCAAACGTTGTCAAAGAGGGGCCACGCCTCGGAGGACCCCGCGAAATGCAACCTCCCTTTTCCCCCCTTTTTTTCCCCCCTTTCCCTCCAGGCTCGGTCGACTATAGATTCCGGCATTTCCCTGCAGTCTCACAAACATACATAAATGCACGGAAGCGCAGCGCGATACTTTCTGCGAAGATGCATGAAGGAGTGCACGAAACCCTGAATAATTAACAAATCCACGACGAGGCACGAACGAACGTTATCACGCTCCCATAAAGAGAGAATCGTTATAATAGAGAGTACGAGGGAAGTCAAGTGGGGTAGAAAAATTCCTCTGGGAATCGCCTGATCCCATTATCATAACGATTGCCTGCGAGATATCCCTGCGACATTATGCCATGACAAATATGAAATGGAGTTCCTGCGAAACCCACCCAAACACAAAGGGAATTTCACGATGAAACATTCACGGCCGTACGTCCATTCTCGGAGATGGAAACACAAATAAATAACTCCCACTTAGCCATTTTGTTTGCATCTAAGAGCACATCATCGAAGATGAAAAGAGACCTCGACGCACTCGACATCTCTCCGCCAACGCACAAGTTACGCCGTCAACACATCCATATTGCAT